GTTGTCGATGGATGACGCAATGTATTGCTAACACCCCTGACACATTTTGTTTTAAATAGCTTATAAATCCACGATAACGTCCAACCATGGCAGGTGCTCCATCTGTAGCTACTGATATTATATTTGATAAGGGAATTGCTTTTTCAATGAAATAATCCTTCAAAACATGAAATATTGATTCACCTTTAGTGTCAGTTATCAAAGTTCTTGCGAAGAGCAGTTCTTCGTAGATTTCTTGATTCATAATAAAACGGACATATGCCAATAATAATGCTGCATTATGAGGTAAAGTTGACTCGTCCAGTTGTATAGAGAAATGGGTCGTTTGCAAATAATTACATAAGAAGCTTTCAATATCAGAACTCATTTCATCAATACGTCTTTCAACAGTATTGTTGCTTGAGGGAATTCTTTTAATGATATCAGATGCAGGTTTGAGTAAAACAGTTTTTAAAACCTCTTCAACGGCTGGCAAAATTAACTTCTCTCCGATAGTATGCGGTTTTCCGGATTTTGCTATAAGTAACGAGATATTGTAAGACGCCCGCAAACCATCATCATTTCTTTGTGACGTCGAAGCGAACATTCTGTCCAGTGTAGGTCTCTTCTGAAATTTATCCTTGAGTGTTTGAAAGTATTTCAAATCTTTCTCTGTTTTATCAGGGTGGCATCTTCTCAGATGATCTTGCAGTTTAGATGGTTTCATAGCGTCATTGCCCAAAACTTTGTTGCATAAAAGGCACATAGGCGACTGTTTGTCCGGCAATGATGGAATGAAACCAAATTTCAAATAATCAACACTGTACTGTCTACATTTCTTTTTAGATTCGGACATGGCATCAGTCATCTGTGGGCAAAATTAAATTATTTAAATAAGACAGAAAATCCAGCAGCTGCATATAAAAAATATTTTTTGATTTTTCCGAAAACATTCCATAATTCGAACATCATCTTTGCAACAATTAGCTTGAATTACGGAGATTGCACTGTAATTATTTATTGTATTATGTATTATTTTGCCGATTGCTAAAAATTTCAAAAAGAAACTATTGAGGAGTACTCGTATAATTTTGCACGATTGAATATTTAACTACTAATAACTAAAGTCATGATTGGCGTAATTTATCTATCTTTGCTAACTACGAGTACAAAACTAAAATTTAATAAAAAATAATGTATTTACTTTTCTCCACCACTCTCAAACAAAATAACACTGATAATTTGTGTGATATACTATCTGTTTATATTTTTTAAAATATTTTCTTAGCACTTTCCTTTTCAAGATTCAGGAAACGAATAATCGTATTTGTCCCAAATTCGTATTTTTTTCGCTGACGTAGACCCCTTGCAGTTTGTCATAGACCCCCAGGGGTGATATAGACAACTTTGGGAATCAATGCTCTAAATCATACTCTCCTTACTACGATCATATCTGATACACATATGATATATGCTCTAACTGATTATAATGGTCTCGTGGACTGAACCCGCCCGAAAAAGGGCGATATCTGCATACAAAAGACCTCACGATATATTAAGCCGTTCACGATACGAAATTGCGCCATTGTTATAAACTCGTTCATAAAGGCGGATCTATTAGCCCTGTGTCGAGACGCATCTCTTTAACTACTTTGTCAACCCTTTTTCGGAATAACAATGAATGTCAGAGGGTTATCCGTAACATTTGCTTCCCATTGTGGCTTGACAGAATAAAAAATGTTGCGTTGGGTTAGGGTGTGTACTGTGCCTCTTACGGATAATCTACTATCTACATCCGGTAGGCGGAGGACGTCATATTTTTACATGAATTATATTGTGTTAATGTTATAGAGATGTTAATCTAGGTAGCACCATGCATTTGGTGTAGTCAAGCTGTAAGTGAAATTAGTTCTGAACGTAGATAAAAAGTTCACTTCATACGAATTGGTTATTTATGATTTGGTTATTCGGTAGCTCAGTGAAAGGATTTGGGTTTGGACCCGTAGTATGGATGAAATTTTGTAAAAGGGAGGACTGACTGCTGCTACAAAACAACCTTCGCCTTAATAATAGTAACAACGTGTATTCGCCAAAATATAAAATTGATAAAAAAATGGGCAAATACGAGCCCCTTCCCACTTCAGTTGGCCCAACTATTGAAATCTTAGTTTTTTTCTTATAAAACACAAATAATAAAAATGTAGCAGGGTGTTATAGGTTTAAAACATTAACAATGAATATTTTGATAATATATAGTAGAAACCACCAACTTTATCACTCCCTCATCAAATTTGCACCATAAAAATAACACATGTTGCAATTACAGCATATCAACCTATTTTTATTTCAATGCAAAATAAGTCTATAACGTATAGGTGGCTGTGAAAAATAAAAGCCATGACAATTGTTTTTATTAATCACAGCTGTCAGAATACGTTTAAAATAGTTTTGCGTAGTTAAGGTTTTCAAAATGGGTAGAGGAAAGTTTATTAGTGAGAAAAGTCGGTTACTGATAACTAAATTTTTTAATTCTGGAAAATCAAACTCAGAAATTACAACTTTTTTAGACTTATCGCGGTACAGTGTGAGAAATATTGTTAGAAGATATAACGTAACTGGTTCAGTTAGTATTAAGCCACGATATGTGAAAAAAGTAATATCACAAATGTCGATCGGAGAGCATTAAGAAGAATAATCCTGAAAAACAGGCGTGCCAATTATTTACAATTAAGTGCTCTGTGGAGTGACGCTTTTGGAAGGAGAATTTCGAGGTCCACAACTCATAGAGAGGCCCACAAACTCGGATTTAGCAACTGCAAGGTAAGTTTTCTTATAAAAAAAAGTTAAGTAAAAACCCTAAAGTTGCACAACTTGTTTATAGGCCACTGCAAAGGAAAAATCGGCTTAGATTGGCTAAAGAACATAGACAATGGTCGCAGTAGAGTTATTCGCAAAAAAAATGAAGCATTCCATGTTGACTGTCTGAAGAGAAAAGTGAAATTTCCAGCATCCATTTTGATCTGGTGCAGTATGTCATCAAAAGGAGTAAGAAAAGTTCATTTTATTTATGGAAATGTGGATACAAACAAATATTTGGCAATTTTAGAAGAATCGCTTCTAGAAGTGATGGAAGGATGTTTGACATCCGCCCAAGATTTTGTGTTTCAGCAAGATGGTGCGGCGTGCCATGCCTCAAAAAAGGCTATAAAATGGATGGAAGAAAATAATGTACCACTTTTGAAATGGGTATCTAGCAGTCCAGATCTGTCACCTATTGAAACATTGTAACAGACCTAAATTCAGTAATGCATTTCCTTACTTGGCGATGCACTTGCCTCTGGAACGAAACTTATAGGGAAGTAAAAATGTTTGGTGAAACCTGAACACAAAGTGAAAATATAATTGCTGGTAACATTTAATCCTAATAATAATCATAAATAAGCCGAGGTAAATCATAGCAGATGTTTGTATTGTTGTTTATTATTTTGTAGACCAAGCCTTATCTGTACGTTGATCACTGCTCATCTTGTTTCCCTTTTTCTCAGTCTTCCAAACTCTGTTGCTGTGCTCAATTTGAGGCCTACCTAGGACATTCCATTTTTCTGAAGTAAATAAGAATGGCAAGGTCAATGTATGACATATCATATACTTTTGGAATCAGAATTGAAAACTTTAATCATCTGTGCGAAAATCCAATAAGGGATCGTTAAGAAAAAATTAAGTTGATTCTTAAGAACAAGACATGAAACGCCATATTTAAATTCTTGTTATGCTACCCTATAGAAAAAAAACGTGGCAATGTTATCGTTCAATTTATTTTGAAATCCCACTACAAATGAAGTCAGGAAAAAAATTTTACCTTTTTGGGATAATTCTGTTTTTTCTGTCTCTGTTCGGAAGTACTAAACTATACCTACGATTTCGTATATGTCTAAACGACATTTTGTTAAATACCTAAACGCGCAACTGTGCCGCAATTAGAGCGGCTGGGTATCCTTCACCGTTTCCGAGATCCTACTGGTGAGGGTCGAATTTGGCACACACTGTATTTAATAAAGAAAATGCTTAAACTAGAACTAGATTATTCACATCCCAGTACAGATAGTTTGTCTGTCCTGCTGTATGAGAGTACCGCCAGCACAATTGGCTCTCAAAGAAAAAAATGTAGGCTAATATACTTTTTAGCAGGCATGGGTAGGAAAACCTACACAAGGAGCCGTATCTACAGGGTGACTTCGAAGTTGAGTCATTTATTTTAACAGTGAGTAGATCTGATCAAAAGAAATGCTTTTTTCCTTTAACATTTTTCTGGTAAAATTAAAGTAACAAAGTTATAGCCCTTTAGAAGTTTGAGTACCGCCCTGCCTCAATAATAATATTATGTGCTCGTGTTTGGCAACAACGGATATAATCCGCCTTATCGGTTCATCGCATCGGAAACAAAAAAGCGAAAAAATTTGAAACGTTGATCACGATGTTTTTATTCAGTCAATGTGTCAGTCGGTAACGCGTGAGTGAATAGTGGTGTTTGCTGCGTGGCTCAAACGAAATAAAAAATGGCACATGTTTATGCGGATCGGTTTCCCAATCGAGTGCAACCAACCCCTCGTGCCTTTGTTAATGTAGTACAACGGGCTCGTGAATCAGGTGACTTAAGACCTCACAGGGGAGGGCATGCCGGTGCTCCAAGACGTCACGATCAAATACAGGTCCGCACTGAAGTACTTGTCAGAAGGATACTTTATAAAACAAGGTAACATTTTTTTTTTGATTTTTTTTTATTTTTACACACACGTTTTGGTTTATCTTCCTTCTACAATCATTATCTGAAAATTAATGACTCAACTTCAAAGTCACCCTGTATAAAACAAAGGATATCTTTGTACTGGCAAATTTTGAATGAAATCCTCCAGATGCTATTTATAATAATTTGACGTAAATGTTTTTGCTTTTTGAGTATAAACATATCCTTCAAAGCAGTGACATAAGTAAAGGGATATTGATAATATTCACCTTATACTTGGCATAAGGAGCATATCCTTCAAAAATTCTGAGTGTGGTCAGTAGCAGACCCAACTTCGTAACGAAAGGTGGTCAAACGATGATGGCGGAAATTGTGGATGTTAGGGATGTTAAAACGTACAAACCTCGTTTACCTTCGCTTGGTGATTATATCGGCTCGACGAAGCTAATGTACAATGGCTTGCGGACAGATTTTTAGTTGAGAATGAGGAAACTCGAGGAGGAGCACTTTGTATTCATAAAATGAAGATATGTCTACGCTAACTCGGTGACCCTGGATATCTACAAGGTATTGGTCAGGAACAGGTGTTAGTCAAGCAAAGGTATCTCGGACTGTGGTTAGAGTTGTGAACAGCATAGTTGCACAGTCGAACGGATGGATCAAGTTTCCAACTACCAACAATGAACTGATGGAGGCAAAGCGGATATGGCAAAGTATGTATACATTTCCGACAGCAATTGGTGTAATTGATTGTACACATATAGGAATCCTGAAACCAAATCGCCATGGAGATGTGTATATCAACCGAAAAAGGAGACCTGCTTTAAATGTGTAAGCCACTTGTGATGCCAGAGGGATGTTCACAAGTGTTGACGTCAGTTGGCCTGGATCAGTGCATGACTCCAGAATATGGAGAAATTCACAGACTAGATCACAACTGATAAATAAAGCAAATGTTGTACTACTTGGCGATGACGGTTATGGTATTGAGCCATGCCTTATGACTCCCTTCAGAAATCCTACTCCAGGTGCAGAAATAAATTATAATAAGCTTTTAAAACAAAAAAGAGTTATAGTTGAACGTTGTTTCGGCCATCTGAAACGCCGGTTTCCTATCCTACAGTATGTTTGCCGCGTAAAGTTGGAAAATGTGCAGAAAATAATTTTTGCTTGTATTGTACTTCATAATGTTGCGAAGAGCTTGGGCGGTCCTGACTTTGAGCTAGTTGAACAAGACCCAGATGAAGATGAAGGAAATCATGAGAAGTAGGTCAAAAATAAGAAGAAACTTGAGTATTATAATAAATAGTTTTACTGATTAAGGTGAATTTGTAAGTTATAATAAGTTTTATTCTCGTGAACACCATAAGTTACAGGTGGCTTCTGACGCTGCATCATTTCTAATTTCGTTTTATAATACTCTTGTTGTAAAATACTTGTTTGGTACTGCTGTAATAGCACTAGACGTTGCAGTTCTTTTGTAGTTAACCCTTTGGTCTCCTTAGTTTCGTATTTCTCTGTTGCTAATTTTGTTTTTGGTGGCAATGTCTTCTGAAGTGCTGGCGCTGTAATACTAACTGTTTGCTCACTGCGCTTGGTATATAGTTCAGTTCCTTCCTCTTGAACACTACCAACCTGAATGGCACCTCTAATTTTTCCAATTGTAGGATTACAGTCACCTTACATTGCTTCCAGCAACTGTCTTTCCCAATCAAACAATTTAATTGCTTTATTACCAGTTTTTTTAAGATGGGTTTTTTCTTCAATCTTGATTTCATGTTGTTGATTTTTTTAGTATCTAGTATCTAACGGTTTTTCGAATATTGATTCGTATTTTTTCGAGATCTTCTTCGAGGCATCGTCCTTTCTCATTTTTATTTTTGGAACTTGTGACTTTTGCAAAATAATGGGAGCAATGGCAATTTCATCTGCCATGAACTGCAGGTCGTTGCCATTATTTTCTATAGTTTCCTCATCACTTTAGGATGGCATGCTTATTAATTTGATAAAAAACTGTATCCAGTCAAAATACGGAACGGTCTGTGTAAGCTCTGGAGTACAACTGTCAGTGATGCTGAGTGAACGAACTCCCAAGTCAACTAAAAGCTGGAACAAGTCCGGACATGTCGCTCAAGATACAAATACCAGTCAACCTTTTACTTCTTCTTGGAGGATATCCTCGCGAGTGTAAGGTAATCATTATGAATATGAAAACAAGGATATGCTTATACTTCTAGCTTCTTCTACGAAGCAAGACCTTATATTACCTTATGCTTCCGAGGATATGCTTCTCTTTTATGAATACGGCTCAAGGCATGCGATGAATTTATGCAATTTTGGCATTTACATTACATTCACACTTAAACAATGACCCACTTATAACCAGTCCTATACTGGCAAGAGCTACAACTCAAATTTGTGGAGATCATCCACGTCCCCTCTTCTCGCCGCCTTATAAATGCATGTACAATTTGAATGAATTATCTTCCAGTCGCATTGAGCTTCCAGACAAACAACGCAATAACTCTTCCGAAAGCCATGGAACTGGTCTTAAAAGTGGTTCCGCTTCGTTAGGTTATTTTGCATGTATGGCAGATTTACGATGACCTTATACACGAACGTCTGACGGCAGAAGGGTAAGGCACCCTTGTATCCCTTTGAAAGCTCCGCTTTGTGCCGTAATGGGAAATAAGTGGTGGGAAAACGGCATGTCTCTCGCTGAGGGGTGAGAAAGGTCACGAACGAATGTGGAGCACCCTTATGCCGCGCTGTCAGTGGCCTAATAGTTACTTTTTTGATAACCTGAAAATAATAATATATCGGGGGTAGCCGAGATCATATACCATCATAACACCCTTTGGCGGGTTATTATGAAACAAGGTTGTTGAGTAAGCAGGATAAGCGCGAGGGAAATACGTTACAAATATTTACTTAGGAAGGCGTTAATGAACTGCGGAAAGTACGTGAATAAAGGATTGCCATAACAACGTTTGGAGTTACGACATTTTGTATAAGTTGGGAAATCTCGCAACGGTTGAGACTACAGACCAAAATATGTGAATTGACCTAAATATACCTCAGCTCACAAGTTGATAGCTTGTGAGATACAGGGTGTCAAAGTTACAATTTTATTTTCTATTTTTCCTTATTGCTTTTGAAGTATTTCAGATTTTGGCATAAAACTCGGTATAAGAAGGCTTTCTTGTATGAGAAACAAGAATCCATTATTTTTTGTGGCCAAACTTCTAGAGGGCGCCTCTATTTCGATAAATAACTTATCATAACTTTTTTGTGCGGCCCTTTATACAACAACAGGCCGAAAAATCTCATTTTCTCGTATTTGCAAAACAAAAAAGGTTTATTTGTTACAACTGTCTAAAGCTAATCGTTTTCGAGATATTTGTTTTTAAAAGTTCCACTGCATTATTTAATAATAATATATCATCACCAGAAAAAAATAAAAGTAGATCCATCTCCAATAATGAAACAGTGAAATTTAGGTGTTTTGTCTATAATAAAAAACTACTTGCAAATATCAAAATTAGAATCGTGGACAGCAGTGCACTGTGCAACGAATGTTAATGATGCTGCAAACACACTCATTGAACGCATAAAATATTTAATTGAATGTACTACAAACAGAGTTAAAATTAAACATTTTGACAGAAGCAGGAATCCCTGGATAACTAAAGGTTTGATAAAGTCTGCCAACAAAAAAGAGGAACTATACAAAATAATGAAAGCACCGCCATGTGCAGAAATATAAAGAATATAAAAATATTTTTATCGATCTAGTTAGAGAAGCAAAACGCCAATTCTATCTAAAAAAATTACAAGATGCCAAACGACAAATATCCGATGCATTCTTAAATTTTGTCACTAACGTTGGAGAAAATTTAGCATCCAGTATTAAAAAAATGGTTTCGAACGAAAAGTTCACAAAAACCCAACTTCCCAATTCATTCTTTTTAGAAAGCGTTAGTCCTATTGAAGTACAAGAAGCTGTCCTATCACTTAAAACCAAAAAAAGTCCTGGTGTAGATGGTATCAAAGCTGACCATTTAAAAATAATAGCCTACGACTTAGCCGAACCAGTTTCTTACGTCATTAATCTGGAATTTGTCCTGATGCATTTAAAACAACTGTTATTACTCCTGTTTATAAAAGCGGTGACAGAATGGAAACATCAAATTATAGACCCATATCAGTACTATCGAAAATAGCCAAAATTTTCGAAAAATTACTACAAAAAAGGATATTACAATTTTTGGACAAAAACAAAATTATATGTTCTGACCAATATGGATTTAGAAAAGGAAAATCTACTACAGATGCAATTTTGGCTGCAATGGATGAAATTAACTCTAATGTCAACAAAAAGATACCTACTATTGGTATCTTTGTTGATCTAAAAAATGCCTTTGATACGGTTAACCATGTCGAGCTTCTGAAAGTTATGGAAAGATTGGGATTTAGGGGAGCGTCACAAATCCTTTTAAAAAATTACCTTTCAAGTCGGGCACAGACTGTCAAAATCACTAACACTTACAGTAAAAAAATGTACATCAAGTGTGGTGTGCCTCAAGGAACAGTACTAGGCCCACTATTATTTAGTCTCTACTTCTCTAAAGATTATATGTTTTGCAGATGACACCCTCGTATTATATAAAGCTGATGACTGGAGCACACTGAAGAAAATAGCTGAAAAGGATTTTATAAGGATCATTGACTGGTTTGATACTAAAATTTTAACAGTTAACTTCAAAAAAACAAAATTTATTGCATTTACATCCTATTCAAAATTTTTACCTACCTTCGAACAAATTTCCGTTAATTATCATGGCCAAAAGACCAAAATCGATAGAGTTAACACTTTGAAATATCTTGGAATATTTATAGACTCACATCAGGTGGGATAACCATATTAAATATGTTATCAAAAAAATTAGAAATGTTGCCTATAAACTCAAAATGCTTGCTAAGATTCTTATAGAAAGTTATCTGCGAATCCTATACCATGCCTTAGTTGAAACCCATATAATATACGGCATCACAGCCTGGGGTGCCGCCTGCAAGACATATATTTCTGACCTGAATATAGCACAAAAAACTGTTTTGAAAGCCATTTTCCATAAGCCAAGATTATATCCAACGAACAACTTATATCAAGGAACAGGGATACTTGATACAAAACAACTTTATTTCTTACATGCCACCACCTTATACCATAAGTATTGTAATAAAAAGAAAAAATCCTATAAACACGAGCATAACACACGATTTCGAATAGGCTCATCTAATATCCAAATACCACACAAAACATTATTCAAAAAATCATTTAAATTCTTAGCAGCTAAATTATATAATGTAGTACCAAACGAAATAAAGATACTTAATTTTGGAAAAAAATTTAGAAGAAAATTGAAAGAATGTGCAGCGATTGACTATACATAATTATATAGAAAACTAAAACTACAAAATTCCAATTACATTAATACCTTTTAGATTTAACAATAATTGTTATACACATATATGATTGATTGTTAGTTATTAAGATATAAACCACACACAGGCGATGCCTTCTGTGGTTTTTTCATATTTATTTGCCCATTTTTTGTATTTTGGCGAATAAATATTATTATTATTATTATTATTATTATTTGTACCATGATGATAGAACATTTTTATAATATAATAATCAAGTTGCTTAATTTATTGTCAACTTAAAATTATTCATGAAGTTTAAAGCAATTTTAAGACAAACAATAGAAACCATATCAACGCTACTCAGATATTATCTAAAGCAAGTATAAATAATGCATTGGAACCTTTAAAAACAAATATTTTGGAAACTATTACCTTTAGAAACGGTAAATAATGTGTTTTAGTTTTCTGCTGCTAAACGACCGGGTTTCGACAAAATCATTCTAAATTACAAAATATAGAGAAAATGAAGCGAAAAAGAATAGATTTCTTGGACTGTCGCACAAGAATATATGATTTTATCTCATTTTGACAAAACATTTATCAACAGCTGGTGGCAAATACAATACGTCTTACTTCCAACTGAATATATAATTTTTGGAGTTAGGTATTAAAACGTATTAAAATCGATTCCATTGTTAATTAAATATGGATCTAATTTTCAAATTGTGTCATCTCCATCAGGCAAACACGTGTGAAATTTTTGTGTAATATGTTGTTTGCAGTTCCGTATAAAATTTATTCCAGATTTCATTCATATTTAATAAATGAAATAATTATATTTCACAAAAACTTCATAAATCAGTGTGGTATTGTCAACAGCCCATTCAATTTAATACGAGTATTTGAATCAAATGCAGTTTTACAATTTTTGATAAATTCAATTACAATGCTTCAACAGTTTCATAGTTAATGTTTAATTAAATACGTGCAAACAGCAAAAATCTGTGGCATATTGCAGCAGGCAGTCCATATTTTATAAATTTAGATAAATGGAGGGGAAGAGAACATTTGGAGCAAACTTGTAATGGAAACATATCTTTCGAATAGGCGACACTTGGATTACTTAGGCCCGTATCGTCAGTCGTCCCTACAATTGTAGGGCTCGTTTGTGGCCTCAAAAATACCTCGCTACATTGAACAAATTCCACAACCTGTGGTATCTTCAAGAAATTGTTGAGTAGGAAAATTAATGCACATGGATATATTATACTATAATATATTTGTGTGTATGAAAGTCCAGAAGCTTACAACCAAGCTTGATGGAGGTTGGTAAGTTACAAAACATCATTGCATACCCATATTATATACTTATCGCATTATTTTCAGGTGTGATTCATTATCACAGACTTTATGAGAAGTTGGTTCCTCAGTAAAATGCTATGTTTACTTTGGAAGGATAAGGAAGTGAGTGATCTTTCTAAGAAGGAATTTATGCATCCAGGCATAATTGTAGGAATCTTACAGAAACAAAACGTGAATTTGATTTATGTGACCGATATGTGCTACACTGCAATTTGTTAATTAAATCCTGGCATAAACCTATATGATCATAGTCATAATGATAAGAATGAACACTTACGAACTTGAACACAAGCTGTGCTAAGCAAGTATGTATAATGTGTAAAGGTTCTGAAATTGAGTCCATGGTAATTGACAATCATGATTTCAGGATATTAAAAAGAGCATGGGCATGTAGGAGCACCAATTATGAGACATTACAAGGTGTAAATGGGAAAATGGAGTTGCAGCATGAAGTTAAATTCTTCGTTACTTTGTACCATCATGGCAGAAAATTCCACAACTAAATACAAGAAAACTGTGGGAATCAATTCCCTGTATAAAAGTACAGAAGCTTACATAAAAGCTGTTCTCTTGATGAAGGTTGGTAAGTTACAAAACAAATCATGGGATATTCATATTATATACTTATTGCATTATTTTCAGGTGTAATTCATTCAAACAGACTTTACAAGAAGTTGGTTCCTCCATGGATAACAAACATATCCCGAATGCAACTGCGTTGTTGATGTCAAGATGCCTGTTCACAAATCATTACTGGACTCTATGTGAAGTGTCAAGCTACAAATATGTACAATGTGTGTATGTGAAGATCGTAATTACCATTTATCATTGTTATTTCAGGATGCTTGAAATACCATATCCATGTAGGATTACCAAATATGAAGTATTAAAGGGGATAAACACAGTTGTAGCATGAATTTAAATCAGAAATTCAAATCTCAATACTAAAAGTTTTTAATTGATTTGGAATCCTAACTTAAAAGGGAAAATCTATCAAAAGTATGGCATTTCGGGTTGAAAAAGAAATATCAAGAATCAAACTGGTTTGATATTTGAAACATATGAAAAGCAGAGTTTGTAGGTTATGATAGAAACAGTAAAACAAATCTTTGGCCCAAAAGTGTGCATTTACCTCTTGTAATACTAGGAGCTGCAATCCAGTGTGTTTCCTAATTGTACATGAGTGACGAGGCATTTCTTTAACTTCCACCAGTGATGATATTAAGGAATTTCACTTGCTTATTTTGACAGGCAGTAATGGTATGCCACTGATGTTTTATTAAAATGTTTAATCACATCTAAGCAAATTTAATCACTTGAATGTTTTTCAGTCTGATGTAGGGTTTTCATAAAAACTGTCTCTGAATATTGTTAATATGACAATATCACCATGCAGCGAAATAGTTTCTATTTTTTGGGTGGAAATCATAGGTCTGACTAAAAAAAAATTCTTTTCAAAAATACTGTTTATTTATACATAGTGACATTGTGATACTAACGATATTAGGATCATGCAAAGAAACAGTATTTTAATTTCATAAAATTTGCTCAGAAATAACTGATGATTTTAAGAGCAATTTTTATTTTAAGAGAAATCAGTGGCCTACTATCATTGTCTGCCAAAATAGGCAAGTGAAATTTGTACGAACGCCACTGGTGGGAATTCAAAGAATGTTGCATTAAAAATACCTCTTGATGTACATCTATGCCAAACTTTGATACAGTATTTGAAGTGGTATTCCAGATCTTTACAAAAAAAATTATTAACTTTTGAAAAGTTTACCACTCTGTTTCTCAAAGGTCAAGAGACTTAGGATATACGTCATATGAAATATTCTTAAAATGGACTCAAAGTTACCCCCTTAAATATAGACATTCAATTGGAAAACACCCTGTATATTTTATGTAAGTAAATTAAAAATGAATAAAGGTTATTGTGATACACTGCTGTAGTTTTTCATTTTTGATATATTGTTTTTTGGCTACATATTTATAATTCCTGTAATTAGTTGTACCTTTTTGGATTGGTGATACGTTTTGACATACTACGTATGCGTTCATTAACAATTTCATGGCAAGTATTTGTGGAATGTAAATAAAAGCATCATTGGTAAAATCAATATTTATTATGTATATACATACATGACTTCTCATACATATGATTTATATAATATGACCAATAAGTAAATAAATAAATAAATGACCTTTGACGGTCTGATGGCCAAACTTACTGTCCGTGATGCATAACATCTTTTTCCGTAGACCTCTTCCGCAGTTTTTCTTCTCAGCAGGAAAGCACATAAAAAACAGTAAGCCGTACCGGAGGCACGAACGCGTAATATATTTCAATATTTCATTAAACAGAAGAAAGCAAGAGCCGCATAATTCATTTCCCCCTGACAGTTCGGGTTTTGTATTGCAATACGGGCACTCGTAAAGAAGTTGGCGAGCCAAGAAAATTAATGATGCCATTTGAGCTATTGATTGTATAGAGCTTTTAATAACATCGGGTCGTGCTTTACAACTCAGTAAATTGGTACTTGGAGTTGATATATTGTTCTCTATAAATCTCGGGCTAAAACGTAAGCGTGCAAATACCGGTAAATTACTGCCTTGGTGTACCGAGAACTCACTCGTTCATATCGATCACTTTATTTGGTAATTGAGTTTAATGCCGGTGCGGACCTTTGATTTACGGACCTCGTTTAATTCGTGCATTTGTTACGTCCGCGTATCACATTTAGGGTAAAGACAAACAGAGCTGTTTTGACCGACGCGTTTATCGAATCGGCCGCGTTCTAGTAATCCACACTGGGCTGTTTCTTCAGCGGTTTATGCAGTGATCCATTCGATTTGCAGAATGGATGACGTATTGTATTTATCGCTACTGTATTTGTATTGGAAAATTAGTAAAAAGAAAAAAGGAATAGAAGAATGTGGATACATCCAATCATCGGAGAAAGGCAACGAAAAGGTCATTTTCATACATTGTTTGCTGAAGTACAAAGAGATGAAGAAAAGTTTTTCAACTCTTTACTAGGATGTCGCGAAGTACTTTTTACGAGTTATTAGCAGTTTGTGGAGAAAAACTAGCAAAGAAAGATACACGTATGAGAAATGCGATAACATCAGAAGAAAAACTAGTAATAACTATCCGGTAAGCAAATAAATTAGGTAACTTTTTCTCATTTTATTAAAAATGTATTCCACAGTCTTTCATATATTATAAGAGTATATTTATTCAATTCATATTAACTATACTAAACTGGGAATCGTCTTCCGAAAAGTGGGAATAATAGCTTCTAACTGATTCAGCTGGTGAAGGAGCTGGAGGTAGTGTGGAGTTTATCTCTTGTTTGGCGGCATTCTGAGATACTCCATACTGTTCTTGTGGATGTTGTACAAGTCCTGACTGACTGGGATAATGGGTTATGGAATACGTTTGCTGATGTGGAGGTGGTGGTGTATCTGATGTCTGATTTGCTTCGGTCCTGGTTGCATATTTCAAAATAGTCGGCATTATTTCAATCCTGCATTTTGTATTTAAATGTCTTGGCAGTGCAATAAGTGAAAGTGCTAAGGAAAGTGCAAAGTGGTAATTGTCATCTTCAGTCATCGTCTTGTTTGCTCTTTTTTCGTAATTTTCAAGTGAATGTAATATTTTTTCTTCGACCGGGTGTGTGCTTTTTTGCCAATTTTAGTATACTTTTCTTTATAGATTAAAGTGGGCGTTTCAGGGTTATTGATGGATGAATATTCTTTATCCAATGAACTGGTGGTTTGTCTGGGCAGTATTACATCTGTGAGAATTTGAAATTGTAACCTCTGTGTATAAACGTAAGGAGCTTTCCGATAAGCTACAGCCCCTGACTTTCCTTTGATGAATATCTCTTGAAAAGTTGTCTCGGATATTTTTCCACTTTTTATGCAATTCATTACCTGTAACAAAATAGAATTACGTACATTATGTTTTAATTAACTGCATTTTTTTATTTTAGATATTTGGCCACGGGCTGCTCTTTGGCCGAATTACATTATAATTTTCGTATTGGTAGATCTACTGCTAGTAACATTATACAAGAAGTATGCACAGTGGCGTGCGTACGAGTTTTGACTTCGATATTTTTTGAGAAATAAAAATTATTTTTGAATTCCCCGTTCAATTTAAAACAAATAATCTTTACAGAAAAAATATAAACCGTTCTATTGTCCGAGAAAATTAATGTAATAATTGAAGAATGCTATTTAGCAATAAATATCTAGTTGATCTGGAAAATGTCACTGGCTTTTGACATCTGACAAGTCTCTGCTATTGAAATCTGTTCGCTGTAACATCTTTTTCACTATTTAGTTTTTACAATCTTGTTAATAATGGTGAATTATTCAAATGCAGAAATGGCGGAAATGCATTACGTATATGGCCTTGCCGACGGTAATGGTGAGCAAGCCAGACGGATTTATCACCAGAGATATCCCGATCGTGCTTTGCTAGATAGTCGAACCTTTTCTAATATTCATCGTCGTCTTGTTGAAACTGGTTCTGTCCAAAAACGAGCATCTGAAGGTAGACCTCCAAGTGTGAGAACACCTGGAATTGAGGAAGCAGTGCTGCACGAAGAACATCCTGAGACGAGTACGAGGAAGACCGCTAGACACTTAAATATTTACCATCAAATTGTTTGAAGAATTTTAGTGGATATTTTGTTATATACTTACCAAATTTTAAGAGTGCAGGCATTACTTCTCATTGATTTTCCAAGGCGTGTGTCCTTCTGTCAGTGATATCTTCAAAAAATTACACAAAATCCGCAATTTGAATCAATCATTGTGTTCACGGATGAGGCTAATTTTTCCCGAAATGGCATTCAGAATTTCTACATAATCATTTGTGGGCCGTAACCGAAACCCATTTCCAACACCAATTTGCGGTTAACGTATGGGCAGGAATTATTGGCAACCACCACTCTATTGGCCCGTTCTTCTTGCCGGGACGACTTGACGGATAAACTTAAGTCAATTGTCTTCAACAACAGTTGCCTTTGCTGTTTGATGATGTTCCGTTAGTAATAAGAAACAATATGTGGTACATGCATTATGGTGCATCAACGCATTTCAGTGTAGCG